GAACTTTTTTTTTTTTTTTTTTTTTCTGGTAAGACTTCGACTTACCATTACCTCCTTGAAAAAAAGAAAGTAATGATTCCAATGTCTAATTTTTTGGGACTTGAAAATTAAAATCATTATACTTAAAAAGAAAAAAAGGGAAATTGGAACCATTACACAGCGCGTGCTATGTAGGTCTTTATCCATTAGAATTAAAAGAAATAATTTTTTATTGGGAGATATGTAATTGTATTTGGATAAGGATATAAAATAAGGATATATAGATCTTCAAATTTGATATTGATGTGTCTATATCTAAAGTACTGATGATTATGATTATGATTATGACTATTATTATTACTAAACTCAAGGTGAGGAGATTAAAACACACTTTATAATATAATCAGGTGTGAGTAATGTTATGTTTGCAACCACATTTATTACATTTTTAAACAATATTGGACAGTGCTCAACTTCTCATATGCAAGAAAAAAAAAATAAAAAAAACAAACAAAATATTATTAGTTTTCTCAGTTTTTTCTTTTTTATTGTATAATTTTATTTAGAATTGACTTGGAATTAATTCAAAATTTTCCTTCCTAATAATTAAAAAATTCGACTATCCTTATTAGTTCTGTAGATAGCAAGAGATTGTGAATAAAGATGGCAATTTGGGTCATGACACGGTAATATAACTCTAAATCTGTACAGAATTAATGTGTTTGAGTTATAATTGGGTTAACAACGAATTGCAATTTCTAGTTGTGGATTTTGGCACTATACAGTTATTGGGCCCGTTATTCGGCCTTTATGATGGCCCTGTACCCTCATTGGATCCATGTTGTTGATTCGGCCTGGGATGTTTGGATAGTGCACACAAAGAATCCATTAGATTGAAACTGGCACCCATACGACACCGTTGCATTAACAAGGAGGTGGAAAGTGAAGGATTCAAATTACATTTCGAATTTTGATGTTTTAATTAGTGTCTAATCAATCGAATTATGTTACGTTATTTTAAAAATTTTAAATACCTTTTAATTAACATTTTCATGCTTTAATATTAAGGTTATTAAGTGACGTGTCATAATGTGATTTGTTAGATACTATTTGAGACACTAAATTTTAGACATGTGATTTGAGCCCGGAAGGGAAAAACTATGTATATGAGCATGTTCTTTTCATAACTCGAATCATAACTCAAAATATTATTTTTACTACAATGTTTTCTGTCACAAAAATTTAAATTAAAATTTTTTATTATATTATTTTCTCTCACATAAAATTCACTTTACAACTACTCGAGTTGTGAAAATAATATGGCCATAAATTATTTTATTCAAAGCTTTGAAGATGTTTGGTGATCTTCTAGGCCTCTCTCTTGAGAATGCCTTTTTTCTCCTTCTGTACTTTTGTTTCATCCTTTTACCTTATTTATTTATTTATTTATTTATTTTGATTTAGATCAAAGAAATGGTTTTTCTTATTATTGGGGGTTTGGATTTTGGTAAGAAATTAGTTTTCTTTTTCGAAATTTTAATCTTTTTGTGTAATTAAAAACTTCTTAGTACCTTTTACAAATATCGAGTCCAATGCTTTGGGGGCATAATCATGTAATCATATTCGAGTATTAGGACTTGTTTGTTTCATATGTTCAAATTTAAATTTGAATTCTGTTACAATATTTTTCATCTCACGAAGAGTTTAAATTCTAAAATTTACTTTCTCATAAAGTTTCCGCCAATAAACTCAAATCATCATGACTTGAATATATCTCTAAATGGGCCTCAATGTTTTTAGGTCATGTGGAAGATAATTATTGTGCATGAAACATATGCACATCAAATGTGAACCTTAGAGTTAGGGGACACTAGGTTTTTTTTTTTTTTTCGCTGAAATTATTAGATATTAGTAGTGAACGAGGTTGAAAATGTGTTGTACAAGGTGGCGCCACACAAGATTATAATTGATCCACATAAGATTAAAATGCCCATCAATGCCTTAACAACTCAAACCCCTAACCCTACCATATATATAGCCTGTCTTTCACTCTCCCTCTTTCAGACCACCGTCTCTCTCTGTGATGACCTGCAAGGATATTAAGCAACTAAGAACAATTCAACCAAGGCTAAGGGAATATGTTAGGATCCTGATTGAGTCCTACATTGTTAAAGTATATGCTTAGCATGTAGGTTTATAACCACTTGGACACTCTCTTCCTACAAGTTAGCTTTTGGGATGAGTTTTACCCAAAGGTTATAACAATTGGTATCAGAGCATGTTCCTCCTCAGGCCCACATTGCGGAAGGGGCGACCTGGGGAGGGGCGACCTGGAAAGGCCAGAGTGGGCCATCCAGAGAGAGCCGCCGTGGACGTCGGTGTCGGAAGCGTGGTGATATGTTAAGATCCTAATTGAGTCCCACATTGCTAAAGTATGGACTTAGCATGTAGGTTTATAACTACTTGGACATCCTCTCCCTACAAACTAGCTTTTGGGGATGAGTTCTACCCAAGAGTTATAACAGAAAAGTAATGCTTTATTAACTGTTGTAACTCCTTAATGAAACCAAGAGAATTACAACGAAGGTGATGATAATGAACTAGAACAGCAGAGCTAGATTATCGACGAAGTAGAGATAGAGAGGGCACATACACCTATTTTGCAGACCCTTTTTAGTCATCTTGTTTTCTATGTAGTTTGCTGCTCTTGTTAGGCAAACCATGTGTTCCACAAAAGACTTAAAGAAGTGGCATATATTCATTTTATATATTGCTTTTTTGTGATTCCTTTTTTGTCAATTTAAACATTTATGATCTCTGAGATATATCTTTAGTTTTTGAGAGATTTCTTTTCTTTAGTTTAGAATAGATCCTTTAGAGAGGGTTTCTCTGGATGCCAGTTTGACTTGTGATTTTCTGATACATGGCCAAATCAGTGTTTTTTATTTTTTTATTTTTTTTATATTATGTGTAAAGAAGAAGGCTGGTCAAGTTCTTGCTTATTTCCATAGTTGCTAAAATGAAGGTTTCTTTGAACTGAGTCCATGAGTTTATCAAAGAAGAGAGGAAGAAGCTTGTGCCTCATCATGCTTCCAAGTCATCAAATGTTACAATAGAAGTTGATAAATGTGAATATACTTGGGAGACAAGTAACCATAATTTGAAGAGACCAACCATTAAAATCATAGAGACGTTGACGATAATGAAAGAATTCGAGGTTGGGGTTTGCGGGTCTGTTGGGTCGGGAAAATGGAGCTTGCTTTGCGGGTATGTTAGCTTATTACGAGTGGCTTTTAGAAGCTTGTGCTCTCGACCGGGACACAAGATGTGGAAAGAACCAAATAGAAGTAGTGTAAGACTGGTTTTGATATCCCTTGGCAGATGACAAGCTTCTGATGAAACCCCGAGAAGAAGCGGAATCCAGTCGAGCGAAATCGAATGTTTACTCGACCTTCATCACTTCAACTTATGGAGGAGCTCTTGTTCCTGTTATCCTTCTCTGTCAAGTCCCCTTTCAAGTATTAGTTTACCAATCCATCCTAAAAGTTTAAGCTATTAGAATGTAGGCCAATAATAGTTTTGTACTTTAACACTCCCCCTCACGTGTGGACTGAATAATAGGCAATCATGTGGGTACATTAATTGGAAAGTCCAACACGTGAATATTTAAGTCTGAGATATATTAAAGACCCAACACATGATGACAATTTTAAATGAGGATAAAGAGTTCAATTATAGGGGTTTGAACTCAAGACCTCCCGCTCTGATACCATATTAGTTTACCAATACATCCTAAAACCTTAAGCTATTAGGATGTAGGCCAACAATAATTTTGTACTTTAACATCAAGGACTACAAAATGGGCAACAATTACTGGAGTGCTTAAGCTATAGGAAAGGAAGGCAGCGTCACTAAACAAGGTTGGTGTTTTCTTGTATCATGTTTTGCAAAACATTATGGTTTAAAAGGTTTTGCCAAGTTCATGATCGTTCTCATGTCTCAGGTTGCCTGGCAAATCTTCCTTCTTTTCCTGCTTGTGCTCGGAATCTCCATATGGTATCAGGCAAGAACAAAAAGAACCACTACTGAATTGTTAACTTAGAATTGATAGCATAAATAACATGTTATGCACATTATTCATAAAAAATGATACGTTCAACAAGGGATTGGAAAGAAAACAAGTTCTTTTCTTTAATATGGAGATTTAACTGTTTGAACTACTTTCGCAGGCATATTACATCACCGATGCCGGAGAACTAGCTAGCATGGTTGGAATTCGAAAGTCTCTGGTCTCACATCACTTTTCAGAAGTACCTTGTTTTAAGCAGGAGATGAAAGCTCTGAGCCTATAGTGTTAGCAAAAATATGGATAATACAGAGAAGAACAATTCATAACAACTTATAGGAAGATCAAAATATAGAAATAGTTACAACACGAATTCAATCTTTGCACCAAACTTGGAAAACCGAATTGCAAGGATGTCGAGACACGTGAACCATGCTTTCCTTAAAACAGATTTATTCCCTTCGGCAAGTGCTTGAGGTAACGTTAGACATCCATCTCCAATGATACAACAATAACAACGGTAGCTCCAAGTACTATTGGAACCATCCGGTGAACTAGAACTTGGATCTTCTCTCTATCGCCAAAGACCGAAGTACAAAAGAGAACGCACAAAGAACTCGGAAAAATAAAAATTACAAAACAAAGCCTGCACGAAGCGGATTTTTCGGTCTGACATTCGTGTCCGCAAGTCGTGGGCGCACACATTGGGCCCCTAACCCGCTGAGACCGTGATTCGCACGGAGCGGGTTTCTCTTGTAGCTTTTGGCGACTCCGCTGTTCTGATAAATTTTCTCTGCAACCTTGTTTCTTCCTTGTTGTTATCATTCCGGTAACCTTGCCTAGATCAGCCATTGACCTAAGTAAGCTTCCTCTTTATCCCTCGTTTTATATTAGGCCAATAATTAAAATGCTTACAATAATTAAAATGTATACCGACCTTAAAGGGGATTGTTTTTCCCTTAAACCTTGAATCCATTTCGAGAGAGAAGAAGAAAAAGAAAAAAAAACATCATAATTTTGCAGCACCCATTGGTGTGGTTTCTAATCGAAATTATTTACTACAAATGTTAAAATCTATTGTATTTTCTTCCAACACTCTACTTGTTATCGTGCTCCTAGGCTCTTTGATGATCAAGGTTTGATCTTCTAATTTCACACAAGTGCCAATTTGTAAAATGTAATTTTTTACTGATATTGAGTGTGGTTTCTTCTAATTTGTTGTGCTCTCCAAATAAAGAAGACTAGTAGTAAGAATATATATATATATATATATATATATGCATATGAGGTTTTAAAAGGAGAATCCATTTTAGTCCCCGCCTTCTAAAACGTCTCACAGCTACAGCTGCTCTTTAGAGTTTTACTTTATTTTAATTTAGGAGAAAGAGGAAAATAGACCAAAACTTGAGATGAATTAAAATTAATAGGTCAATAATTTACATAAGTTAATAAATAGGTCAAATTACTGTTTTCGTCCATAACTTGACAAGTTATTGTCCATAATTGTCCATAACTTGTCTGGCTATAAACCATAACTTGATAAATTTATTCATAACTTATCTGGTTATGAACCATAACTTGACAAGTTATGACCTATTAATTTCTATAACTAAAAATTAGCCTATATACTTTCTTAAGCTTTTCATATTGACCTATTTTCTACTATTTTCCTTTTAATAATTTGTCCTTCCTTTATTTAATTAGGTGTGAAATATTTGACAAAATTTATTTAAATTAAAAACTAAAATTAAAAACAACTAAAATTTAAAAATTATACGTGAAAATTAACTTTTATTTATTGTATTTTTTTAGTACCTAAACTTGAGATTTTTTTTTTTCAATTTTAGTCCTTAATTTTTATAAATTTTGTCAAAAATTTAACATGCAACTAATAAAAAGATGAAAATTAAATTAGAGTAAAACTTAAAGAACCTCTGTTGGACGTTTTAAAAATCAGAGATCAAAATGAGACTAAAGATAAATCTCAAAGACTATTTATAAAAGTAACACATGTACATAATATATCCGATGGTCCCTACTAATGAGAATAAAAAGGAGCGTTGAGAAACAATTAACACATTGACCAATATTGTTGACTACTGACCAGATTGAATTTCAGCTCATAACAGAACACAGAGATATTATTGCCTATCCACTTGGGATATTAGATGCTAAAATGCAGTTCAAAATAAGTGCACATCGTTACCATTAAAATTAGGATTAATCTCATTAATACTCCCTAAATTTTAAGATTATTCTTTCGTTATCTTATAAATTTTGAAAACTCACTTTTTTCTTAAAATTTTAAATGAGTAAAAATTTCTATTCAAATCAAGTAGAAAAAAAGGGTTAAGTGACACCATTACTCTCTTTTTTTGTATCAGTTTTTTTACAGAAATTATAATAGAAGAGATTAATAGGACATTTGATTCATGAGTTTTGATTCATGATTTTAATTTTTAAAATTTTAATTTTTTATAAAAGAAAAACACTGTAAAAAATTAAGAACCATAATTCAGAATCATAGACGAACCCTTCAACCAAACGTCCTTTAAGTGACAACAATTCAGTGAGTGTTTCAAGTTCGGGAGCAAACTGAGAATAACCTTAAAATTCATGAGCATCATTGATAATAATCCTTAAGATTATGAATTAATATCCTCGAGAGAATTTCCAGCCAAAGAACAAATCACCAAAAGAACTAATTTCCAGCAGGTAGATATAATTCGATCTATTATAAAGAATATATACAAGAACTTAGGATCTTAATCACATATATGAAGCGATAATTATCTCTAGGAAAAGTGAAAACGAAGAGAGATAAAGCTTATGAGTGTTAAAAATATACATGGATTGATAATTATATTATGATTTGCTCACAAACAGCATAAATAACATAGATCAGCAAGGTTAATCTAATTTAACAGGGTGGATTTTCAATTGGAAAGGAGCTAATGAAAAGCATATTTCCCACCCCAAGCAACCGCGATGGACGCAGGACATCCTATTGTTCGCTTGCCAATTCTAACCAAGATCTCCCGTCCTTTTCAAACTTTCGATTACCTGGAGAGAAGCGATCTCCTGCAAATGCCAACCTTAAGACAATCAGAATTTGGAAGAATAAAAATACGGAGATAAGCGAGCCTGCAAATGCCAATCTTAAGACAATTAGAATTTAGAGGAACAAAAATTCAAAGGCATCAACGTAGGCTCAGAAGGCGGGTAGGCAGGCATGTAGCAACAAAAATTAAAACCTACAACATAAGACGCGTGAACTCAAGATCAGACACATCTATGCCTCCACTTGTAACTTACTGTAGTAAAGCAATAGATTGGTTAGACAGATCAAGCAAAAATCACGCGTCAGCGTCAGATATGTAATAAACGTTTTGACTCCAGTTCCAGCGTCGTAAAACTATTTGGGTTAATCCTACAAATGGTCCTGCAACTTTATGCCCAATCCACTTTGGTCCCCGAAAACATCCCAAACTTAACCCCAATCTATTAGTTTGTTTCAGTTTAGCCCTCCTGTCAGTTAGGTGTTGAAAGAAAACAAAACATGCACTTGATGCCGCCGAAAAATGATGCTACACTTACAACGGAACAGAGAATACACACATCATGCTTACAGAGAATGATACTATGCTAAAGGAACATCACCATTACCATATTCCGTCTTCTTTTTAAGTTCCAATCAACGGAAGGGCCGAAACTGAAATAATAAAACTACGTAAAGGACCCCAAAAAAAAGTGTTGGTACTTAAAAAGAAATCATCAATAGCATTACGAGTGCATAAGAACAAACTCAAAAACTTCTCTTAAAGCTATTTATTATTTCTAAGAATAGCTCTTATGTACAGTCAAGGGTAAGGGAACTCACAACAGCAACTTGGCTGCTAAATAGAGGCGTGAATCATCCTTCCTTATCCGCAAAGGGATGCGAGTCCTCTGAATCAGTCAAAACCTCTTCTTCTACTTCCGATTCCATCTCTGCTGCTTCCTCTGCCTCCGCATCCACCGCACCCAGTTGCCCAAATCCATGGCCTGCAGTCACAAGACAACATATTTTGAGCTACACTAGAGTTAGATTCCATTGGAATATGTAAATAGTCATATGAAAAAAGAGATAAATGTCAACTTCTGTATTCATAAAAAATTATTCAACTTCAATTGTACAACCCAGAGTTGGATATTAGATCATATGATACAATGACTGAGCATCCTACAAAGTAAACGGCGATAAACACGAAATGATTGTACTTGAGAGGCACCATGCCCACAAGGGCCCTCAATAATTTCCTTCAACAGAATTCCCCTGTTCTCTATGCTACGCAATATGAGACAATTAAAGTTAGTTTTCTTATTTCAGTTTATAAGCCTGACACCATTACAGCGCCAACAAGAACCGTCCATGGAAACCCCAACGAGACTATCATGGACAAATTTATTAACTCGAGGCGTAAACTTGCTAATCTTAACATGAGAAAAAAGTTCCCTTTTTTGCTTTTTCACCAAGCAAGTTGTTAATTTTCCTATTACCAATGAATAAAAACACGAATTGCATAGACCATTCAGAACCTAATCTCTCTTGCCCTTAAAAGTTTCATCTTTCCCTTATTTTCATAAAGGATGCAAGTTTCCTCTTCTATCCAAACCCTAGTTTTTCTATCCCGAATTTTCTCACCAACCAAACGGAGCACAAAACACACAATAAAGTAGCTACCTTTCCCATTCTCACACTACAACCCAATTCTTTGAATAGCGTAATTCACCGAAACAAAGTTTCCTCTTCTATCCAAACCCTAGTTTTTCTATCCCGAATTCTCTCAAAAACCAAACGGAGCACAAAACACACAATAAAGTAGCTACCTTTCCCATTCTTACTCTACAACCCAATTCTTTGAATAGCGTAATTCACCGAAACAAAGTTTCCTCTTCTATCCAAACCCTAGTTTTTCTATCCCGAATTCTCTCACCAACCAAACGGAGCACAAAATACACAATAAAGTAGCAACCTTTCCCATTCTTACACTACAACCCAATTCTTCGAATTGCGTAATTCACCGAAACAATAATTTCTCCCTTTTCCCTCACTTTCGCACCATCCAAACATAAACACAAATCAACATAAAGCCGAGAGAGACGGAACACGTACCGTCAACGAAGAACCTCGAGGAAGGCCAGCCGCGATCGGAGCAGAGAGAGAGTGACTCCTCGTCGGAGAGGTGGTCGGCGATCTTGCCTACAAAGTCGGCGAACTTCATGGAGCCGCGGCGAGGTGGGACCCAGAAGGAGTAGCCAGGGAGGAAGGGGAGCCAATCGGGAGTGGCCCTCTGGACGATGAACCTGTGCACAATGTCGTCGAGCTTCTTCAGCATCAACGCCTCCGATTCGCCGCCCTCCGAAGACGACGGCGATAGCTCTATCTCGGTCAGGCGGCCGTTTCCGGAGAGAGTCGATCGGAATCGCCGGAGCTGGTTTAGGCTCAGCTGTGTTCGCCGGAGAGTGAGGGTTTGGGAGAGAAGTTTAGCCATTAGAGAGAGTAAAGAGAAGGGAAGTTTTGCTCTCTCTCTTTTTTTTTTTTTTTTTGTTTGAGAGAGGAGAGGATTTTGTGGATGGAGACGGCGAAGTGGATACTAATTAAATAATTTTATTAAGATAATTATTAAATTTCATTAAAAATAATAAGTTCAAGCAGAAAAAAAAAATAAAAAATAAAAGGTTAACTGCGTAAGGTAGTGGGGGTGTCACGTGTGTAATAAAAGATTGGTTTACGTGGAGGTTAAGAATGCCGTTTAGATGATCTCTCCAGTCTCGATCTCTACTATTTATTTGTAAGTTATGTTGGTTTCAAAAAAAAAAAAAAAAAAAAAAGAGTAAGAGGACGTTTAGTTTATAAATTTAAAAGTATGATTCAGAATTATTTTTATTTTACGTATATTTTTTATGAGAGAAAATACTATAGCGAACTATGAATTATGATTCGAATCATAGCACAAATTCCCCTTCCAAACGTTTTATAAGTTTAATGTTGGATCGAAAAGAGAGAGGGGGAAAAAATTCTACGTGAAACCTACTAAAAAACTTATTGGTGGAATAT